CTTTTTGCCCAAACTACTGTACTTCTTTTCAGTTTTCTCTGTACAAATCTTCTTCCATATACTGACCCCTACAAATGAAAAATCCCTACCTCATAGTGTTGTCCAAGACAACAAGATCACCCTATGCACCTGCTACAAAGGGAAACTCAAGAGGAGGCCTCCATCTTTCAGGTTACTACCACATGGCAAAAATCTACCAACTAACCCTATCAATATAAATGTATCTCTTCTGGGTCAATGCAGAAGCCTACTCATTGGCACTGACACAGATTAATGATTTAGAGTTGTGTTTAAAATAATAGCAGTCAGACATCGCTACCCTGATCAATCACTGTTTTTGGTAGAAATTATATTTCTACATGGCAAATAATTTACTAGCAGGTGTAGTAGAGTAATAGAAATCCAACAGACCCAACAGTCATGACATGCATGCTGATGATTCTGTGTAATTGAATCACTAATTGAAAGGGGCATGTTCAAAATAATAGCAGTGTGGAGTTCTATTAGTGAGGTCATTTATTCTTTGAAAAACAGGTGGCAATTATTGCCCTTATTTAAGGAAGGAAGGAAGGCAGCAAATGTTCTTGCTGGTTACAGTGCATTTCTCTCTGAAATTCTGAGGAAAATGGGTCATTCCAGACATTGTTCAGAAGAACAGCGTACCTTGATTAAAAAGTTGATTGGAGAGGGGAAAACATATAAAGAAGTGCATAAAATGATAGGCTGCTCAGCTAAAATGATCGCAAATGCTTTAAAATGGCAAACAAAACCTGAAAGATGTGGAAGAAAGTGAAAAACTACCATTCGAATGGATAGAAGAATAGCCAAAATGGCAAGGACTCAGCCAACAATCAGCTCCAGGAAGATCAACGAAAGGTCTAAAGTTACCTGTGAGTACTGTTACAATTAAGAAGAAAGCCTATGCGAAGCCAAGCTATCTGCAAGAAGCCCCTGCAAAGTCCCACTGTTGAAAAAAAGACGTGCTGAAGAGGTTACCATTTGCCAAAGAGCACATTGACTGGCCTAAAGAGAAATGGCGCAACATTTTGTGGACTGATGAAAGTAGGATTGTTCTTTTTAGGTCTAGTGGCCGGAGACAGTTTGTCAGATGACCCCCAAAACACTGAATTCAAGCCACAGTACACTGTGAAGACAGTGAAGCATGGTTGCGCAAGCATCATGATATGGGGATGTTTCTCATACTACGATGTTGGGCCTATTTATCACATACCAGGGATCATGGATCAGTTTGAATACATCAGAAAACTTGAAGAGGTCATGTTGCCTTATGCTGAAGAGGAAATGCCCTTGAAATGGGTGTTTCAACAAGACAACGACCCCAAACACACCAGTAAACGTGCAACATCTTGGTTCCAGACCAACAAGATTGACGTTATGGAGTGGCCAGCCCAATCCCCGGATCTTAATCCAATAGAAAACTTGTGAGGTGACATCAAAAATGCAGTTTCTGAGGCAAAACCAAGAAATAGAGAAGAACTGTGGAATGTAGTCCAATCATCCTGGGCTGGAAAACCTGTTCACAGGTGCCAGAAGTTGGTTGACTCCATGCAACACAGATGTATATCAGTTCTCAGAAACAGTGGTTATACAAACTAAATATTAATTAAGTGATTCAAAGGAAAGCAAAATCTTTAAACATTTTTCAGTTTATATAGTGAATGTTTGAGTTTGTAAAGAAGAATACAAACACTGCAATTTTTTTGAACAGTCTAATATTCACTTCTCTTCAATTTTTTAGAGGAACAACACAAATTTGATATATTTTTCTTCATGTTTTGATTTGGAATAGAATGTGTAGTGTTCCCAGTGCATTTGTGTGTATGGAAATAAAAGTTATTAGAAGGATTTTGAGCTTTATTCACTTTTTTCAACACACTGCTATTATTTTGAACACAACTGTACATCTGTCTCCCTCCAACTAACAGTTTGTGGCGCTGTAAAATATTCTGGCAAGCTAATGTCTCCCCACTTACCCCTAAACCTCAGGATGCAAGAGCGATGCTGCACAGGAGAAAGAGATCTTGGTCATGGCTGAACAGCTAAAGAAGGGGTTAGAGAGTGATGCTGGTAATACCTGGTCCAAGTTGCTAAGAGATAGGTTCATGACAAAGCATTGTCAAGGCTACCAGAAAAGCATCATGTAGAATCCTAACCAGTCAGAGCTGGAATGGACAGACGATAGCATCCAGTACCCAGAGGACACTTCCAGGTGTGCCCTGTAGGACATGGCCCTGTAGGAATGTAACAGTGAGATCCACTGGCAGGCTGGGGATAACCTATGCTCGAAGTCTGAACTGAAGAGCCTCCCAGGATTAGAAGACTCAGGTCCCAATCTACCAGCAGATGTTTACTGAAGAGAAAAGATCTAAGGAAAGATGAATGCACATGTGCTGAGAGAGATGTCCATCCTACTAAAGACATTAGTTAAAACTGAAACATAGTTGCGCTGGGAAGAGCTATAGCCCTTTGTAGCGTCCTACATTTTATTTTGTCTAGTCTTCCATCTCTCTGTAGGCAGCAATATAAACCATGGTATATTATTCATGTTTATCCAAATCACATCCAAATGTGTGTGTTCAGTATGATGTTGAACAAAAAAGTGGGGGGCTGAGGTTTTCAGCTTCAAAGTCTGGATCCAGCAGACCAAGAGCATTATATTGTATTTCTGCAGGACACAAAGTTAAATGGAGTAGTTCAGTATATGCAGAGGTATAGCCATGTGATGAGGCTGTGCCTTTGGGTTTGTCTAGTGTACAGGAGCAGGAGCTACACCCAGGCGTTGAAAGCTAGATTCTCTGTAAATATGCCATATCTTCAAAACAGAGAGTCTTCAGTTGTGAAAAGCAAATTCCAATAAAACTGTGTTGTACTTTAGAATAAACTTGTACCTAGCTAAATGTTAAAGAATATGTAAACCCAACATTTCATATTCCTGAAATGTGTCTGCTGTACAATGTACCTGTATGAAAAAAGTATCCTGTTCTGTTTGTATTGCTTCCTTTGTGTGAAATACCTGATGTTCCTGCTGGTCCCTCTGCTCTCCCATTAAAAACTGACCACACTAGGCATTAGAACACAGCATTGTTAGTTTTCTAGCTGTGCTGTGAACTGAACCTGCTCTCCTCCGTTGATCAGACCTCTGCTGATATGCCTCTCATGCACAGCCATTAACTGACAAGATTAGTGTGCAGCTGCTTCTCCTCTCCTAGCTTTCTAAGATCCCTATGCAATTGAGAACTGAGAGAATATAATTACTTATAAAAAAGGGTGAAAAGGTATTTAGAATGTTTTTTTATATGTATAGACAAATGTTTTGCCTTTCATTTATATTTTGAACTGAGCGAGTTGATTTACAAGGTGAGGGTTTACATATACTTTAATGGTAACAATCTTGATGAGTCGGATAAATAATTAATAAAAGGGTTGAAATATGTTTCTGGAAAAAGAAAATTATGTTAAAGTGTTACTAAACCTATGACCCTGCATTCACTTTATCTGGTCTCCCACAGCACGCAGAACATGGAAATGCAATTACTTTAGTAACTATAAACTGCTAAATACTTTTTCTCATCAGCAGTATATAGCAGTCTTGTGACTTCTATCAGTGTCTGGCCCAGCAATGGTTAAAGCTTGTAGGAGGAGTTGTCATTCTTCTCTGACCGTTCTATAAAGCTACATGACCCTCTGTCTAGACAGTGCTGACTGGCCCTGTGCCGATTACATGCACCCTCCCCAAAGAAAAAAATTCTCTAGCCATACACACCAAACTGAGCATGTGCAGAGTGCCTCCTAGAGCTCTGTACTATCAGCAAATTAATTGGGGACTGTGTAAGAAGGGGAGGATCAGAGAAGACAGGATCAAACAGCCTTTTTACACAATGCTAAGGATGAACCCCAAGGTTCCTCAGTGAATATTACAAGCATGCTTTACTGTCTATACAGACTGATTTTACAGTTTGGGTTTAGTAACACTTTAACTCTTCTGTCAGCCATGTGACAAAAAGCCAAGGCATCTAGCTGTAATATTAAAAAGAAAGAGAAAGACAAAGTTCCAAGTACTCCACATTTAACTGAGTTTAAAAAAAAAGAGATATTTTAATTTCAGTTAGGTGTATGTAAATGGTCATATAAAGTTATAAAAACCAATGTTTACCTAGATGAACAAATTGGAATCTAATAAAAACTTTCTCCATAAAGCTTATTAAAAATCCATGTAATATTTTTCTGACAAAAAAAAATTGAACACAGCAGAAATGGAGCTCTTGGGTTTAATGATAAAAAAGAAGAGTCAATGATGACCACTTCCACTATTCAAAAACTAACAGCAGAAATTATGCTCCTTCATGCAACCTACCACAATATGAGGTTTTCCTATTGGACATTACTTTTTCAGAAAGATGAACTTGGCATTTAACATGTAGATTTGTAAAGGTGACTTTGTACATTAATTGCGCATACATAGTCATTGCTCAGACAGAAAAGAATTTGAAAAGGAGGCAAAATAATTAAAAGTGTGATTCTTAAAGAGGTTGCAGCTATAGAATAATAAGAAGAGGAATGAACATAGCCAAGTGGTGTACAGAATTGGATGTCCTTGCAAATTAATGTACAAAGTCACCTTTAAAAATCAATATATTAAATGCTAAGTTCACCTTTCTGAATAATAAACACATATTTTTGCTGGGTAAAAAAAAAAATGTTCACTCATTTTGTTTTTTACAGGGGTCTGCAGAGCATTGCACCTGCAATCACTGGATCGCAGGTGCAATGTCAGGCTACTGCACATTGTCCCTCCAGCTTTCTTGCCCATAACTCTGTATGGGCTTTCTGTTCATCAGTGCCCTCACAGCTCAAGAACGACAAGCCATCTTGACAAAAACACTGGTTATACTGGTCCTTTCAAATGCTTCCTACAGTTGTAATTAACTATTAAGTTCCTGTGTAATTTAACACTATTTCCAAATTACTAAGGAGTTCACCTTGAGTATGTAGATGACGGTCGTCCCCGTAGCTGGTCTATCTCTAACTGCATACGTTCAATTTCAGCCATTAGCTGCTCCTAGAGGAGAAATACAAAGTGTTTACTACACCTATTCAAAATTTTATAAAGACAGGTCAGAATCTTTACTAAGGAAACCAGTTAACATTAGTAATGTTTAAAAATACAATATTTTGAAATTATTCTCTAGGTAAATAAAATATATCTGTTCTAGATATTTAAAATTATCTTCCATGCAGAGGTAACAAAAATACTTAAGATTTCCTGTAACTCATACCCTGTTAATTTACATAAGAGCACACAATTCTAGAACAATGTCTATTATTGGCCATAGACATTCATTAAAGGAGACGTACAGCCAAAGCTCTTTTGGATGTACATCTCCTGTGGATCACAGGCGTGCAGTTTGCTCTGCACTCCTGTGACTCATTTTCAGCTGACTTCACTCAGCCGGTCCAGGCTGGGGAAAGATCCCGACTTTAAAGTCGGGATCCACCCCAGAGTCTGGAGTGGCACTTAGCTCAGCTTCTCAGCGAAGTGTTGAGAGCCTGAGCCAGCCACTCCTTCCCCCTTCAGAGCCCAGAGCGGGGGCAGAGCAGACAGCCGTGACTGACAGTCACCACTCTCTGCTCAGACTGGCTGTGATAACTCAGAGGTCATGCGATCGCTGAGTTCTCATACGTGGAGCCGGCAGGAATCAGATACAGCATCGGACCAATGCTGCATCCACCTACGCAAGTATAAATGGCAGAAAAAAAGTCCTTCTTCTCTTTTGACTACCAGACATACATGTACAATGTGGCAACTCGTGATTTTTTTTATGGGGCCAGTCTTTCCCCTAAATGATAGCTTAAATGGTTATGAGGAAAAATTTATATATTTTTCAAATGATTTGTACGGTATAGACCCAAAGAAAAAAAAGTCAGGGATCACAATATAAAAGTTCAAGCACAACTTTCAGCATATGTTAAGAACAGGAACACAAAGGGAATTCTAAAGAAAATTAGTTGATTACTACTTATCAATGTTTATCCTTTAAAAAAGGAACACATAGTCCTCTTAAGCTGGCAATACAAGATTCAAATATGGAGCCCTAGGTGGCCAATCTTCAGTTTTGTCAAACACTGTTTAGCCGATCAAAACAGTTACTGCAATCAATTAGATGCAGTCGCTGTTCGGGCATTCAGCTGCTGAATACAATAGCCGGCAGGGGTGATTCTTTCATCCATGCTGTTTAGCACTCTAGACATGTATAGATGTATTCTTTAGTTCAAGAGCTCCTATGTTCACATTCAAATCTCTAATATCTGCCTTTGCTGGTGCTGTCATGCATAGCCCCATAGACACAATATCGGCCTATATCAGTCAGGATGCTGCCTAGGTTCTGCAGGGGTACCATGGCAAAATGCCAAAAAATTGTAAAGAAAAACAGGTAGACCAAGCCTACTTTATTTTACACAGAGCCACAGGTTGTTACTACCATTACATCACTCCCATACTTAAAAAGCCCTCCCTGGACCCCACCAACCTGAACAACTTAAGACCCATCTCCCTGCTGCCATTTACCTCTAAACTCCTAGAATGCTTAGTCTACAATCGCCTGAGCTCCTACCTCACTAACAACAACCTTCTTGACCCTCTACAGTATGGCTTTCGCTCACTACAGTCCACTGAAACTGCCCTACTAAAACTCACTAATGATCTACTAACAGCTAAAACCAATGGCCACTACTCCGTACTCTTACTACTTGACCTCTCTGCGGCTTTTGATACGGGTGACCATCCCCTTCCTCCTCAAAAAACTCCTCTCTCTTGGCCTCATGGACTCTGCTATCTCCTGGTTTCCTCCTACCTATCGCAGCGCTCCTTCAGCGTTGCCTATAATGCTGCCTCCTCCTCTTCACTCCCTCTTTCTGTAGGGGTCCTTCAAGGTTCTGACCTTGGACCCCTTCTCTTCTCCATCTACACACTTCCTCCCTTGGTCACTTGATAAACTCCCATGGCTGTAAGTACCATCTCTATGCTGATGACACACAAATCTATCTTTCTACCCCTCACCTCACCTCTTCAGTCTCCTCTCGCATTACTAACCTACTAAGTGACATATCGGCATGGATGTCAGTCCACTTCTTCAAACTCAATCTTTCCAAAACTGAGCTCTTAGTATTCCCCCCAGCCCGGACCCCCTATCCTGACTTCTCCATCAAGATCAATAACACAATCATCAGTCCCTCCCCTCATGCCAGGGTACTACGTGTAATCCTAGACTCCCATCTGTCCTTTCAGTCCCAAATCCATCACTGCCCAAATCTTGTAGACTTCAGCTCCGCAACATCTCCAAGATACGCCCGTTCCTATTCTCGGAAACCACTAAGCAACTTATTCACTCCCTGGTTATATCTCGCCTTGACTATTGTAACTCCCTCCTCATTGGCCTATCTAATCGCAGGCTATCCCCTCTTCAGTCTATTATGAATGCTGCTGCCAGACTCATCCAGCTTACTAACCGTTCTGTATCTGCCACCACTCTCTGCTAATCACTCCACTGGCTTCCCATTGCCCAACGGATAAAATTCAAAACATTAACAATAACATATATAAAGCCATTTGTAACTCTGCCCCAAATTACATCACCAATCTTGTCTCTAAATATCACCCAAACCGTACTCTCCGCTCCTCGCAAGACCTCCTGCTCTCTAGCTCCCTTGTCTCCACCTCCCATGCTCATCTTCAGGACTTCTCCAGAGCTTCCCTCATCCTCTGGAACTCTCTACCCCAATTTATCAGACTATCGCCTACTCTGCTGACTTTTAGGCGATCTCTGAAAACCTATCTCTTCAGGGAAGCCTATCCTTCCCTCAGCTAATAATGGAATCTTCTACTCTTCCAACCAGTCCATCCCCCACAGTTACTACCTTTTGTACCACTAGCCCCTCCCTCCTAGATTGTAAGCTCCAAGGAGCAGGGCCCTCCAATCCCTCTTGTACTGAACTGTATTGTTGCTGTATTGTCTCCCGTTATATTGTAAAGCGCTGAGCAAACTGTTGGCGCTATATAAATCCTGTATAATAATAACTACTACAGCATTACAAGTACAGGCGGTGCTGGACAGCCCACCTGCAGCCTACCAGTCAAAGACACCCTCTACTGCCTATCTCCCACTGCCAGGGCAACTCTAGCTGCATAAAGGAAAGAAACTGATGTAGAAATCAACATAAGGGTTGCCTATGCTATGCTTATGCACTGCAAAGCTGCATTGAGGCTGAGTTCACACATATGCAGTGCGGTATATCGCATGTGATATGCACAGGAAATGCACCGCATTCCTGTGCAAATCACATGCGAATTGCGTGTGGTGCATTTGGAGGCATACATTTTGTATGTGTCCAATCGCACCGCATCCAGACCCAAAAAGGTGCAGGACCCTTTTTTTGGTCCACACTACAATCGGATCGCATGGGTATTCACACTCATGCGATCCGATTCTGCACATCGCACCACGTTTTGCGGACCCATTTTGGGATGTTGTTAACTTAACACACCCACAGCTGCTCGTATGAATGGGGTGCGATTCTGATGCGATGCGGAATTCGCACAGAAAATGGAGATCTCTCTAGTAGTGATGTCAACTACAGTGATTTCCAGCTTTCAGAGGGATCAGTCAGACATGGTATATGCATTGTTGCACTGTCCCAAGCTGGAACTATGTAATATTGCAAAATAATCCATACTAAAATTCTTCTTTAAGTTTATTTAAATTTGTTAATTAACTTCTATACACAGGATTGATTCCTAGTATTGTGCTGACTATATTAACAGCACTACTACCTGTTCTTAATTTCAATATTGTTCCAAATTATATTATCAGTGTCACAAAGAGAAGTTGCTGGGGAACCTTATTTAAGTTTTACTATGGGGCCCCATGAACTGTAGTGTCACCAATGCACTATCATGTGTTAAGAAGCATGTGTCAGAAAAAATACTGCATATCTGTTTTTTGTCAGTTCTTGTGAAAATAGCAGACCATTTGAAATGAATTTGCTGTCTAAGTGCACTCTGTGACAGAATGCATATTAACACGACACACAAGAATGGCAAAGTGTGAATGGGCCCTAAAACACATTAATGCTAAGTTTTGTTCTTTAGAATATAGCAATCCTAGGCAGGTAGTTTATTTTTAAAGAACTCTCTTGACCTAAGCAATTATTATCTTTGAGACCTTTATTGGAAAAAGTAACTGTATAATTCTCATTGCAAGAATCAATACACAAAACTGCATGTGATCAAACTTGATGTGATCAAACAGTCTGTGTTGAACGCTGGGCAATGTTCTCTTACAAAAAAAAATCTCAGAAACAGAAGCTTCATGCATGCATTTAATTAATATTCAAACACCTGCCCTGTAGATGGCAATCTCATACACCTGTAGTGTGTATACATATAGAAGCAATGATGTCGCAGTAACACACTCAAGGCGACTTGTTTAGCTATATGCTATGCCTGTGTATACTTTCATACAAACCTTGCTCAGAAGAAGCTCATCCTGAAGCTTTTTCATGTTAGCTATCTCTTCCGAGAGAGTGTTCTGACATAGAAGAAGCAAGCAAATGCAAGAGAAGACAAAAGGTTTAGATGCAAGCCTGAGAGAGAAAGATCAGCTGAGGAGACAATGAAGTCTCAGGAAATCTAAGTAAAATAATAGCTGGTTAGAAGTCAGTAGCAACCAGTAAAGAAACCAGAGGCAGACTGTGAAATGTACTGCAGTACTTTTAAATTACTTTTAAATAGTAAGCCTTCTGAAAAACTAAATGAGGCTATCAACGTATAACTGTACCATACACTGGTAGTTGCCTGGCTGTCTGTTGACCCTTTAGCTTTTAAGCTGGCCATACAAAAGAAGAATTTTGTTCACAAATTATTTGTTCAATTTTCGATTTTAGACAAATCAGTTGTTGTGACAAGAATATTAGGAGAAGCAGGGTAGAAATTTTTGACAAACTTCAAACTGTGAATGTGGTTTTCGTTCAGGAAAAACTAGTACATATTGTATTGAAACCTGTTTAATATATCTGGGATTCCATTCAAATAGCATGCCAAGATGAAATTTTAAAGACTTTCGACTTACATAAGTTGACTCAATCATGGCATAAAAAGAATGTCATAATGAATGATTTTTTAAATGAATGACACAGTTCTGTAACAAGTAGAGAAATCAGGTGTTCTGACTACACTGTCCCTTCACTTGCTGCATTCTTCTTCAAGGTCATTATAACTCGAGACAGCCAGAAAACTAGAATTTTTTAGAATAGGTCAGCATTGGCATAGTCCAGGGTTCTGTTAAAGTGGACATATATTCAAATGCTACCCTAAAGTGGCTGGACTAAATGAATAAATGATAGAGTTGTTAAAGAATACATATTTCCTGGAGTAAATGGTGCTCCAGATTCCAGGCCTAGGCGTTTGAACAAATAACCCATGTGAGAGGGAACCTTGAGTAGAATTTTCTCCAGGAAATATATTTCAGCTATTCTATTACTCTTTATTTTTCAAACACAACCAGACAGTTAGCATTTTTTAATATACACAAAATATTTTTTTGTACAATGTATTAGATCTGTTTTATCTAAGAACTCTAATGTTGTGCAGAGGTACTTGTCATACTTACCCATGTAGGTGACAGCAGAGGAAAGATTACAACATAATTCAAAATCTACAATTCTACAGTCTGTCACACTACCCCCACCTTTTGTCTGCTCATTGGACTACTACAGAATATTTTCACTTTGAGGCTCTCCGTCTTATAAAAACACTGAAGTACCTCCTCCAATGCATCAGCTAAGAGTGCAGGCAATGCCACTGCAAGCTTGAGGTCTATATTCAGCTGTCAAATGGCAGCTCAGTATAAAAAAAATAAAACCTTTAGCAAGCAGCTAAAGTTTAACTGAAAAATAATTTCAATATTTCTGAAGACATACTGCTATTGAAGTTGTATTTAGAAGCACTATTTATCAACAGTTGGTCTCTAAAAAGTTAACTTACAGATGTATATCAATAAATTAGAATATCATCAAAAGGTTTAATTCAGTTAATTTAATTCAGTAATAAAATTCAATAAGTAAAACGTGTATATTATATAGATTCATTACACACAGAGCAGTATATTTCAAGCAGTTCTTTCTTTTAATTTTGATGATAATGGCTTACTGCTAGTGAAACCCCAAAATTCAGTATCTCAGAAAATTCGAATATAGTAAAAAAGTTCAATAATGTAGACTCATGGGGGAGATTTACTAAAGCCGGTTCACTCAGAACCTGGTGCTGCTGTGCATGGTAGCCAATCAGCTTCTAACTCCCGCTTGTTCAATTAAGCTTTAGCAATAAAACCTGGAAGCTGATTGGTTTCTATGCAGAAGTGCACAAGATTCTGAGTGAACCAGCTTTAGTAAATAAACCCCATGGAGTCACAGTCTAATCAGCTAATTAACTCAAAACACCGTTAAAGGTTTCCTGAGACTTTAAATTGTCTCTCAGTCTGGTTCAGTTGGTTACTCCATCATGGGGAAGACTGCTGACTTGACAGTTGTCCAGAAGACAGTCATTGAGACACCCTCCACAAGGAGGGCAAGTCACAAAAGGCCATTGGTAAAGAAGCTGGCTGTTCACAGAGTGCTGTATCCAAACATATTAACCACTTGCCTACTGGGCACTTATACCCCCCTTCCTGCCCAGGCCAATATTCAGCTTTCAGCGCTGCCACAGTTTAAATGACAATTGTGCGGTCATGCAACACTGTACCCATATGAAATTTTTATAATTTTTTTTTCACACAAATAGAGCTTTCTTTTGGTGGTATTTATTGGGTGTTTTATTTTTTGCGCTATAAACAAAAAAAAGAGCAAAAAATTTGAAAAAAAAGGTTTTCTTTGTTTCTATTGTAAAATTTTGCAAACAGGTAATTTTTCTCCTTCACTGATGTGCGTTGATGAGGCTGCACTGATGAGGTGGCATGGATAGACAGCACTGATAGGCAGCACTGATGATGCTGCACTGATATGCAACAATGATGGGCACCGATAGGCGGCACTGATGGGTACTGATGGGTGGCACTGACTGACAGCACTGACTGCTGGCACTGCTGGGCATGACTGGTGGCACTGCTGGGTGGCACTGCTGGGCAGCACTGATGGGTAGCACTGATGGGTGGCACTGCTGGGCACAGGTGGGTGGCACTGCTGGGCACAAGTGGGTGGCACTACTAGGCACAGGTGGGTGGCACTGCTGGGCACAGGTGGGTGGCACTTCTGGGCACAGGTGGGCAGCACTGCTGGGCACAGGTGGGTGGCACTGCTGGGCACTGATCATCAGGGCACTGATGATCAGTGCCCAGATGATCGGTGCTGATCCATCCTCTGACAATTGTCGGTTATAGGCAGTACTTTCCTCAGGCTGTGACAGCGTGAGGAAAGTGCAGCTGATAACCAGCAACTGCATTTACCTGTGATCTGCTGTGTCACTGGACACAGCTGATCACATGGTAAAAGGCCGCTGTGATTGGCCTTTTACCACATCACGTAATCAGCTGTGTCCGTAGGACACATCAATCACGGAGATCGCCAGTTGCACTCCCCCGTGGGGGCTATAGCGTGGTTGGCAAGTGGTTAATGGAAAGTTGAGTGGAAGGAAAAAGTGTGGTAGAAAAAGGTGCACAAGCAACAGGGATAACCGCAGCCTTGAGAGGATTGTGAAGCAAAGGCCATTCAAGAATTTAGGGGAAATTCACAAGGAGTGGACTATGGCTGGTGTCAGTCCTGCAAGAACCACCACACACAGACATATCCAGGACAGGGGCTGCAACTGTCGCATTCTTTGTGTCAAGCCACTACTGAACCAGAGACAACATCAGAAGTGTCTTACCTGAGCTAAGGAGAAAAAGGACTTGACTGTTGCTCAGTGGTCCAAAGTCTTCTTGCGAAGTTTGCAAGTAAATTTTGCATTTCTTTTGGAAATCAAGGTCACAGAGTCTGGAAAAAGAGTGGAGAGCCACAGAATCCAAGTTGCATGAGGTCCAGTGGGAAGTTTACACAGTCAGTGATGATTTGGGGAGCCATGTGATCTGCTCTTGTTGGTCCACTGTGTTTCATTGCATCGTCGAAGTGTCGTTATGGCAACTTCTGTGTGTCCCACTGGCTGTCTCCACCCAGCTCCATCATACTGAAGGTCTAAGGCGCCTATCCTGGTCCTGTTGCAGTCCAACTGAGGTCACTTCTGATGTGCTCATTCTACTGTGGGTTTGAGGCGGTTCTCCTAGACCGTCTCCAGTCCATCTGAGGTCACCTCTGTTGCACACCCGATCGTCACTTCTGGTGCCCAGCTCATACGCCTTACCACTGTCAACCCTGGAGGCTGGAAGTACATGGATCATTTAGGCTTATCTGTCCACTTTGGATGAGACCAAGCCCTTTATGGAGTGATCCACATCATTGCCGTTCACCTCCCCAGTCATCATCCCACCAGATTGGTATGTTACAGTGTACCTCTGCCACTAGCACAGCTCATGGCTTTGCCTATTGACGTCCTGCGCTTTACACACAGCCACTCACTGGTGGACAGTTTTTTGCTGGACAATAATATATATATCCTTATTAAGCTCTATTAAAATGTATTCTTCATGTTCTATGGTTCAAATGTGCCTACTTACAATATTGGGTTCATATATGTGGGACTAGTACCAGTTTGTGGTCCTTATCTATAGCACTCTTAATCAGTGTGTATGTTGTTGGTCCACTGTGTTTTATCAAGTCAAGGAAATTCTAGAGCACTTCATACTTCCCTCTGCTGACCAGCTTTTTTGGAGATGCTGATTCCATTTTCCAGCAGGATTTGGCACCTGCCTAAACTGCCAAAAGTACCAATACCTGGTTTAATGATCATGGTATCGATGTGCTTGATTGGCCAGCAAACTCACCTGACCTAAACCCCATAAAGAATCTGTGGGGTACTGTCAAGAGGAAGATGAGAGAAACCAGACCCAACAATGCAGACGAGCTGAAGGTCGCTATCAAAACAACCTGGGCTTCCATAACAACTCAGCAGTGTCACAGGCTGATCGCCTCCATGCCATGCCGCATTGATGCAGTAATTCATGCAAAAGGAGCCCCAACCAAGTATTGAGTGCATACTATACTGTACATGGAAATACTTTTCAGTAAGCCAACAATTCTGTATTAAAAATCCTTTTTATTATTGATCTTAAGTAATATTCTAATTTTCTGAGTTACTGAATTTTGGGTTTTCATTAGCTGTAAGCCATAATCATCAAAATTAAAAGAAAGAAATTCTTGAAATTTATCACTCAGTGCATAATGAATCTAATATATGAGTTCCACTTTTTTAATTGAATTACTGAAATAAATTAACTTTTTGATGATATTCTAATTTATTAAGATGCACCTGTACAACACCTGTCAGCTTCTGTCACTCAGAAATTCAGAAAACTCATTGACAAGGTCATGTGCAAACTATTCTGGCCTAGAAAACAAAACACAGATTATGGCAATGATCAGTGACTTAATGGACTATACACGTACCTTCTCTTCCAGGGCACCCATTCTTTCCTTAAGATGCAACTGTAACCTCTCATTTGATTCAGACAGGAGTTTGTCAACTGTCTCTGACAGGCGTTTGTTGTGCTCATCGTTCATTCTTTCTCTTTGACGAGCCTGCAGAAGACAGCAAGTGTTCAGCAAACGCAAGTAAAGGATTTAAAAAGATTGACTTCTAATAAACAAGCTGACTGGGAACTGACCTCTTATAGTAGTACTCCGGCCAAAAGTTGCTTTCTAATATTTAGTAGAGTCTTGGTTGTTGCTATCATCAGTATAGAAAGTAAGAAGAAATCTCCTGATGTGGACACTGGTTTCAGGGGCAACTGTTCAAAGTTAAAATTCTTCTCACTGGAGAGATTTCTTCTCACTTACCACTGTGCTTCCAGGACAGAAAGTAAAGAGAAGTCTCATAACAGGAACATGAGAAACTAAAAATCTGAAAGGGACTCTAACTATTCCCCATTCTATCCAATACTGGAATTTTTTTTTACTGGAATGAAACTGTTGCAGACTGTTGTCTGTACACAGGGAAATCAGCCATTTTGTCTAATGAAACAAAAGGGACTATAGACATAGATGCTGATAAGGGCACTGCACAACCTTTTGACCAGGGTAACTACTTGAACTAGATAGTAACTTTTTCTTGTTCACTGAAGAACACATTCACAGTATTCAGAGACAATTTTTTTTTGCCACCCTCAAGAGAACATAGACACTGGCCAGCAAAAAAAACAAAAAAAAAACAGTGACCAGGCCAGTGAATAAACCCATAATAAGAAATGCAAACCGCGCAAGTGCATGTTGGATGAAATTACCACATAAACTCTGATCACTCCTCAGATGGTCTCAATCGCACAGCATATATATAAATTCATGTGGAGATAAAGAAAGTGTCTCTCATAGTGCAAATTGCTTAAAACACCATTTACTAAATATAAAAAGCACTTACAAACGAATAAAAAAGCATCGGCATTAAAATATAATCACCAAACTGCACAGAGCTGTACTTCCGATAAAATCTTACGCATTGATGTTACAAGGGAGGCTCCTTGGAGCGACCAGAGTTTATGTGGCCTGGCTTGATAAACATGAGTTCCGGTCTGGGTTTATTAAACAAAGCGGATGCTGACCTCTCTGACTAAGGGGTCACTGAATCTGGTAAGCATCCATCTTATATTCACAGTGGTGTTTGGTCACATTAGTGTTTATGGAAGATTTAAGGAGGATGCTGGAACACTCAATTTAAAGGGGTCTGTTTTATACACTTTAAAGCAGACTGTTATATTTTGGAAGTATTTTATACACAGTAACTTTTCTTTTTGGGACTGTCTTATTTATCATTGAGCACCTTTTCACTTGCATGAAATTATACCTTTTATATTTGTACATATATGAATTATTGTTTTATATGTATTGCTCAGTTATGTATTCTTGAGATATTTACACACATTTTTCCTATATATATTAGCGCCACACTTGTTATTTCATTCAGCGAATAAACCCTCCCACACCTTGGAGGTTGGGTATTTCTACAGATTAAATTTTTCTTCACCGAATATTTCTCCACAAGCTGCTTGAGCCAGTTTCTATATGTACTTATTCGGATTAGCACATCCTCTACAATAGCTTTTTAGGACGAACCTGGACCCTGTTGGATTGCACAATTGTAAGGCTAATCTGGAATGTGACCCTTGGGCACCGAGCTAAGCACGAGCGTATTGTGTTAAATAGCCGCAGAGTCGTTTCTGGGTCTTGAGCCATGACACCTAATCTTTGGAAACTAACTTTGTGAAAAAGCTATGTGGGCTGAACTCCGGGAGCTACCTCATTGTTAGGATCTATTAATGTTCTATTTTCTGTCAATTTATCACGGAAATGGTTAATGCTGAGGAACTGCGTGTGGACTCACTATGTCAAGGGAGTGGTACTGGTATGAGCCCCATGCTTTTATTCCCACCATTCAAGATTTAGGATATAATTTTCCTGTTTCTGCTTGTCGTCAGTGACACTGAGATTTTCCTCGGTTGATCTCAGCTGTCTGTCTACAGTGAGTTTGTCACCTAAGGCCATCCGAACCTCCCCCCCTGCTACTAGCAGTTGATTTGTGGGTACCCATTGTTTAGTCTTATTCCCTGAGCTACATTGTCACTGCCTTGCCTTGTCCTATGGTAATGAATCCCTCTAGCTCATGCTCCATTAAAAGCTCCTCTGCTGCCTGCAGTGTAAGCACTCAAGGCTCCACATCGACATTCTGGAATGCAGTCTTCTGCTGGGGTCCTTAGAATAGCACCGTTAGGAGCGACTCCCTCATAGGATCTGGCTTTTGATTCTTCTGTTGAAGTTTTGTCTGATGGCAAGTCTTAGAAATCCTTGAAGCAGTGCCCACCACTTTGAAACTGGAAGAGCAACCTGCAACTTCTAGCAGTGCTGCTACCTGTCTAGGATGTCTTCTGGGCCCAAGACTACTAAAGCTTTTCTGGTGCGCCCATTAGTCTCAGATGTTTTTCATCAGGGCTGGCACACTCTGGATAAACTGTGAACTCCTCCCAAAGTTTAGCAGTTCTAGATCCACTTGAGGAGTCTTACTAAAAAGTGGGCTTTTCCCATGGTGGAACTTGCAACTACCTGTTTTAATAAGACACTGACGATCCCTGTGGAGGATGCACCCGATTTCAAGGATCCCAAATATAAATGTTTGGAGATATTTTCTAAAGCCTTGTTTTCATATGCTGTCCTGCCAAGCAAACCTACACTTTGTATATGATCACTCGACAAAGTGATCATAGATCAAAGATCACACAATATATTACCTACTATAATCACCCCTAAAGAAAAGTAACACTTTCACCCTTGAAAGCAAATAATAATAATAATAAACCTTTTCTTTCACTAATACTCAAACACCCATATAGAAAATTCAAAATTAATACATAAATAAATTAAAAAATCAAAATAATATCCAAAAATAAAATAAACAAAATAAAATAATAAAATGTCCAAAATAGTGTCCAAAATAATGTCCAGAAAAATAAACATTATAAATAATAGTCCACCAAAAGTATCTCAATCCAGTGTGTTCAACTTTCAATTCTCCATTCCGAACCTCATGATACCTCGAGAAAATAAACTATAATAGTGTATTATCTTCCAAATATCATATAAGTGTATATACAGTGAAGGAAATAAGTATTTGATCCCCTGCTGATTTTGAATGTTTGCCCACTCACAAAGAAATGATCAGTCTAAAAATCAAATGGTAGGTGTATTGTAACACTGAGAGACAGAATAGAAACAAAAAATTCAAAAGAAATGCATGTTTAACAAATTGTGCACTGATTTTCATGTTCATGAGGGAAATAAATATTTGATCCCCTATCATTCAGCAGGATTTCTGGCTACCAGGTGTCTTTCATACAGGTAACAAGCTGAGATTAGAAGCAGTCTCTTAAAGGGAGTGCTGCTAATCTCATTTTGTTACCTGTATAAAAGACACCTGTCCACAGGAGCAATCAAACAATCAGATTCCAAACTCTCCACCATGGCAAAGACCAAAGAGCTATCCAAGAATGTCAGGGACAAGATTGTAGACTTATACAAGGCTAGACTGGGCTACAAAACTACCGCCAAGCAGCTTGGTGAGAAGGTGACAACAGTTGGTGCAATCATTCACAAATGGAAGAAACACAAAACTACTGTCAATCTCCCTAGGTCTGGTGCACCATGCAAGATCTCACCTTGTGTGGAGTGTCAAAGATCATGAGAACAGTGAGGAATCATTCCATAATTATACGTGAGGATCTTGTTAATGATCTCCAGGCAGCTGGGACCACAGTCACCAAGAAAACAATTGGTAACACACTACACCGACAAAGATTTTGAAATCCTTCAGTGCCCGCAAGTTCCCTCTGCTCAAGAAAGCACATGTCCAGGCCTGTCTGAAGTTTGCCACTGAACATCTGAATGATGCAGAGGGGGACTAGTTGAAAGTATTGTGGTCAGATGAGACCAAAATCGAGCTCTTTGGCTTCAACTCAACACGCTGTGTTTGGAGGAGGAGGAATGCTGCCTATGACCATCCCAACTGTCAAACATGGTGGTGGAAACATTCTGCTTTGGGGGTGTTTTTCTGCTAAGGGGACAGGACAACTGCACAGCATCAAAGTGACGATGGATGGGGCAATGTACCGTCAAATCTTGGATGAGAACTTCTTCCCTCAGCCAGGGCATTGAAAATGGGTCGTGGATGGGTGTTCCAGCATGACAATGACCCAAAACACATGGACAAGGCAACAAAGGAGTGGCTCAAGAAGAAGCACATTAAGGTCCTGGAGTGGCCTAGCTAGTCTCCAGACCTTAATACAACTGAAAATCTGTGGAGGGAGCTGAAAATTCGAGTTGCCAAATGTCAGCCACCAAACCTTAATGACTTGGAGAGGATCTGCCAAGAAGAGTGGGCCAAAATCCCTCCTGAGATGTGTGCAAACCTGGTGGCCAACTATTTTTAGAATTTAGAAACTACGTTTTTCCAGATTCCAAAATGGCCACGGCGATCCCTTCAGAAGTCCGGAAGTGACAAAACGTGTCAGGGGATGTGATGCCTGACGTATTACGCCAAACCGGAAGTGTCATTTTGGAATCTGGAAAAGCAGGTTTTTTGAATAGAAAAACTGCTGAGGCTGGTTTGTTGGCTCTATGCTGATTAGGCTCTGGCTCTATGCTGATTACTATTTACCCCCAATGTAAGATGCTATATTAATATATCTTTATACTTTGAAATACGTACTACATAAGTCTCCTTTCTACTTTATGAGGAATATGGAGGATTGGAGGCACCACTACTATATCTAAAGTGAAGCAAAGCCTGGAAGTGACTGCTATATACACCAGGAACATCCTGTTAAGCTTGATATTACTCCCTGAGGGTAATTGTATTCAATCTCACTATTTGAGGTGGTCACAGAGTGCTCACTGTATTTATTAATTTGTCTCACTTGATTTTATTGATTTTATTTTATTTTAATTTATTTATTTACATTTTTTTTTCCCTGTTATTGCTTTGAGTGTACACTATTTTTTACTTATTGCTGGAGTTTACACAGAATAATTTTTGCATG